TAAATTATATTTTATTAGTTATTATTACATTTTTTATGTATACAGGGTGGTTCATAACTCGTACCTCAGAGAAAAATACCAAGTAAGACAAGAAACCAAAAACATGAAAAAAAATGTTTAAAAAATTCTATCTGTAATTTTTTTTTTGACATTTGACCTTTTTACGTCTAATATACAGGGTGTCTCAGAGCTCCATATTTCTTCGATTACTCTGACAGTAAAAAAGATAACGAAATGCGGTTTCTTTTGGACGATAGACATTKATTTTTTCTATGGTCCAAAAATATTTTCGTCATTATAGGTAATTCCTATATAAGTTTTTTGCTTAAACTATTTATTTTTTAAACTAATTGATGAATTAAATGTTTTATCAAGAATAAAATTTTTCGAATATTTTGTTTTTGAGTTCTACAAATGTTTTCTTTTTTTTTAAATGGCAACCCACTAAAAAAATGTTTTGTATACTCTCCCAAAAACAACTGTGTTGGAGACTATTTACTTTTTATTAATTAAAAAAAATACATAAATTACAATTTTGACAAAAAAAAATCGCTTAACTCAAAGCAAAACAAAATTTCGTTTTGAAAATACGATCAGATTTTTTCTATTACTTTATTTTATATTATTATTTTCCAGAGGCAAATAATAAAAAAAAAAAACGTTTGGTTCTAAACTTTATATTCACCCTGTATAAAATGAATTTAAAGAGGAGTATTAGTTGTTTTCTCTTTAAAATGTTTTGTAATCGGAACATTTTTCTTAAACTGGCCAATTTTTAACTTGAATTGAAATTTTTAATCGGAAATTTGTGATTTGAAGAAAATATGCACAAATATGCATTATTTCCTAAAATATGCACGAAGTTGGCAAAATATGCATTTTTTAATTGGCTTATTTTAATCAAAAAACATTAGACATGCATAGAAAACTTATAATCATCTTGAGTGACATGTTCGTTTTGTTTAAACAGCTACTTTTTAAAGGTGTTTCAAATAAAAATAAACAACTTATTTTTTGCAAAATTTAATATCCTACTATATTGTCAAAAAAAAGAATAAAAACACTAATTGTTAATAAAGAAGTAATTAAAAAAGAAAAAACAAAAGTAAATTATATTTTATTAGATATTATTACATTTTTCGTACCTCAGAGAAAAATACCAAGTAAGACAAGAAACCAAAAACATGAAAAAAAAATGTTTAAAAAATTCTATCTGTAATTTTTTTTGACATTTCAACTTTTTACGTCTAATATACAGGGTGTCTCAGAGCTCCGTATTTCTTCGATTTCTCTGACAGTAAAAAAGATAACGAAATGCGGTTTCTTTTGGATAGACATTCATTTTTTCTATGGTCCAGAAATATTTTCGTCATTATGTTTGAAATTTTTTTAAATATAATTTCTAATGAAATTTTTCCATTACCTTTATCGCTTATTATTGAGAATTTAATCCTCGATCTGTCTATATTTTTTTATTTGGGTTTTGCTTATATAAATACAGCCATTTTTTTATTTTTTTGCTCTTAAACGGGAAAGGAACAACTGCGCTATCTGGCCTCACTAACATTCTACATCGTGTCGTTTCCTAGTCTTTAGGTATCCGTAGCTGTGATTCAATTCGGTATTTTTTAATCACGTTTTTTTCTCATTCCAGTCTTCGAAATTTTGGTAAGTTTAGAGTGAATTAGGGCGAATTTGTGGAAGATTGTTGTGTGATATGTATTTTTTTCTAGGCGAACATCGCCAAATTGAATGGAGTAATGGCATCGGTGTATAGCTCTCGTGTAGCTGATGAGAAACTTACGCTGGAGTTGTCGCTTGACATCAATCGGAAGCTACAAGCTGTACTCGAGGATGCCTTGCTTAAAAATATTACTTTGAAAGTAGGTTTAGTTGAATGGAGTGGAATTTGTCTATAAATTTGTTTGTAGGACAATGTGGACACGTTGGGTCAGGAAATCGATCGATTAAATAGATTGTTAAAGTCGTAACAAAGTCGTTCATTGTATATAAATCAAGTATTAAATTTATTAAATATTATATTTATTGTATGTTTAAAAAATATATCTTGTAAGCGCACGATGGGTTTTAGTCTAATACCATCTTTTTCCTAAGTTTAAGAAATAAAATTGGTTTCGAACTCGAATGCAAAATTGAACAAAAAATGCTTTAAGCAGAAAAACAACAAAAAAACAGTTTTTAGTCTTTGTTAAAAATTTGTTGAGGATCAGAGGTATTGGTTGGATTTTCAAAAATATTCTTCAAATTTTTCTAGAAGCAAAAAATACAATAAAAAATGACGTGTAGTCACAAAAAATTGCTTGCGGACACAAAAAGTTAAACAAAAAATAGTTTTTGGGCTTTGTTAAACATTTGTGCGGGTCAGGGATCGATGTTGGATTTTCAAAAATATTTTAAAAATTTTTGTAATAGCAAAAAATTGAATAAAAAAACCCCTCGCTGGTCACAAAAGTAGAACATAAATTGATTCGGGATCAAAAAAAAACTGAGCAAAAAATCGCCAGTCGGCACAAAAAGTTAAACAAAAAAAATATTCTTCAAATTTTTTTAGAAGCAAAAAATTCTTCGGTGGTCATAAAAATAGAACAAAAAATGATTCGGGATCACAAAAAATTAAACAAAAAACCGTTCCTGGTCTTTAATAAAAACTTGTTGAGGATCAGAGGTAGCAGTTGGGTTTTCCAAAATATTCTTCAAATTTTTTTAGAAGCAAAAAATACAATAAAAATGGCACATAATCACAAAAAAGTGAGCAAAAAACCGCTTACGGGCACAAAAAGTTAAACAAAAAAATAGTTTTTGGTCTTTGTTAAAAATTTGTTGAGGATCAGGGATTTGTGTTGGATTTTCAAAAATGTTTTAAAATTTTTTGTAGTGACAAAAAATTGTAAAAAAAATCCCTTGGTGGTCACAAAAATAGAACAAAAATTGATTCGGGATCACAAAAAACTGAGCAAAAAATCGCCTGTCGGCACAAAAAGATAAACAAAAGATCCACTATATAAACAAATGATGCAGGACGTTAACACAACTAATAAAAAACAAAAACTGTTTCTGGTCTTTGTTAAAAAGTTGTTGAAGGATCAGAGGTATAAGTTGGATTTTACAAAATATTCTTCACATCTTTTTAGAAGCAAAAAATACAAAAAATGAGCAAAAAATCGCTTGCGGGCATAAAAATTTAAACAAAAAACCAATCATTTCTCGTCTTTGTTAAATTTTGTTGCGAATCAGGGATCTACGTTGGATTTTCAAACATATTTTTAAAATTTTTGTAGTAGCAAAAAATTGCACAAAAAAATCTTCGGTGGTCATAAAAATAGAAAAAAAAATATTCGGGATCACAAAACATTGAGCAAAAAATCGCCTGTGGGCACAAAAAATTAAACAAAAAACCGTTTCTGATCTTTGTTAAAAAGTGGTTGAGGATCAGAGGTATAGGTTGAATTTTCAAAAATATCCTTCAAATTTTTCTAAAAGCAAAAAATACAATAAAAATTGAGCAAAAAAACCACTTGCGGGCACAAAAAGTTAAACAAAAAACCGTTTTTGGTCCTTGTTAAAAATTTGTTGAGGATCAGGGATCTGTGTTGGATTTTCAAAAATGTTTTAAAATTTTTTGTAGTGACAAAAAATTGCACAAAAAATCCCTTGGTGGTCACAAAAATTGAACAAAAAATGATTCCGGATCACAAAAAATTGAACAAAAAATCGCTTGCAGGCACAAAAAGTTAAATAGTTCTTGGTCTTTGTTAAAAATTTGTTGAGGATCATGGATCTACGTTGGATTTTCAAAAATATTTAAAAAATTCTTTTAGTAGCAAAAAATTAAACAAAAAATCCCTCCTGGCTACTAAAATAAAACAAAAAAATAATTCGTGGTTACAAAAAAATGAGGAAAAAATCGCTTGCGGGCACAAAAAGTTAACAAAAAACCATCCGTTTCTGGTCTTTGTTACAATTTGTTGCGAATCATAGATATTTTTAAAATTTTTGTAGTAGCAAAAAATTGCACAAAAAATTCTTCGGTGGTCATAAAAAAAGAAGAAAAAACATTGAGCAAAAAATCGCCTGTGGGCACAAAAAGTTGAACAAAAAACCCTTTCTGGATTTTGTTAAAAAGTTGTTGAGAATCAGAGGTATAAGTTGGATTTTCAAAAATATCTTTCAAATTTTTCTAGAAGCAAAAAATACATTAAGAAATGGCACGTAGTCACAAAAAATTGAGCAAAAAACCACTTAAGGGCACAAAAAGTTAAACAAAAAAAATAGTTTTTGGTCTTTGTTAAAAATTTCTTGAGGACCCTGATCCCTGATCTGTGTTGAATTTTCAAAAATGTTTTTAAATTTTTGTAGTGACAACAAATTAAACAAAAAAATCCCTTTTGGTTACTGAAATGATTCCGTAAAATAGCTATCTTTGGGAGCGTATATAAAAAAACATTTTTGGTCTTTGTTAAAAATTTGTTGAGGATCATGGATCTACGTTGGATTTTCAAAAATATTGTAGTCACAAAAAATTGAACAAAAATCTCTCGTGGTCACAAAAATAAAACAAAAAAATAATTCGTGGTTACAAAAAAGTGAGGAAAAATCGCTTGCGGGCACAAAAAGTTAACAAAAAAACCAACCGTTTCTGGTCTTTGTTACAATTTGTTGAGGATCAGGGATCTAAAATACAGGGTGCGTCAGAACTCGCGCCCCAGTGAAAAATTTTATGTAAAATAAGATACAGAACATGGAAAAAATGTTGAAAAAAATGTCAAATTTCAAAAAATAAATGTAAAAATTTTTTGATAACAAAAAACCGTTTTTGATCTTTGTTAAAAATTTATTGAGAATCAGGGATCTATGTTGGATTTTGAAAATTATCTTAAAATTTTTTGTAGTAGCCAAAAATTGAACACAAAATCCCTCTTGGTTACAAAAATAAAACAAAAAAATATTACGGGGTGACAAAATAGCGAATGGCGGGATTACGCAGCCCAAAACAACGAAACTATTACGAAATGAGTTTTTGTGGAAATGATTACAATATCAAGTCAGTTTTAGTCAACCAATTTTTACTTATTTAGTGGTTCATTGCGAAATGTGTATTTTCGAGTGCCTAACAGACATTAGTAGTGCGCAATTTTTTAAGTTTTTAAAAAACAAAATGAGAAAAAAATCAGAATGTGGATGTATTTATTTCATGTATAATTTGTATAATCGAAAATGAGGTGCAATGAAACGCCTACTATTCGATATCATCGATCGAAACCTCCTCATAATCTTTCTCCAACATAGCCAAATCCTCCCTCGCCTCATTAAACTCCCCTTCTTCCATCCCCTCATGTATGTACCAATGCACAAACGCCCTCTTGGCAAACATCAAATCAAACTTCTTATTCAACTTATTCCACGCCGATTCGATCGCTGTCGTATTGGACAACATGCACGCCGCCCTCTGCACCCTCGCCAAATCACCCCCGGGCACCACCGTCGGCGGCTGGTAATTAATCCCGACCTTGAACCCTGTCGGACACCAATTGACGAACCTTATATTGGCCTTGGTCTTCATTTGGGCTATGGACGCGTTCACATCCTTCGGGACCACATCCCCTCTGTAGAGGAGACAGCACGCCATGTACTTCCCATGGCGTGGGTCGCACTTGACCATCTGATTCGACGACTCAAACAGCTCGGAGGTGATCTCCGACACCGACATCCCCTCATGGAAGGCCTTGTCGGAGGACACCACCGGCGCATACGACGCCAGAGGGAAATGTATCCTCGGATACGGCACCAAATTCGTCTGATACTCCGTCAAATCCACATTCAAAGCCCCGTCAAAGCGCAAACTTGCCGTTATCGACGACACCACTTGGCTTATCAATCGATTCAAATTGATGTAATTCGGCCTTTCGATGCCCAATTTCTTGCGACAAATGTCGTAAATGGCCTCGTTGTCCACCATAAAGGCGCAGTCGGTGTGTCCCAGAGTGGTGTGAGTCGTCAAAATCGAGTTGTAGGGCTCCACGACCGCCGTGCACACCTGGGGGGCCGGGTAGATGACAAACTCGAGTTTGCTCTTCTTGCCGAACTCGTCCGAGAGGTTTTCCATCAAGAGTGAGGTGAAACCGGAACCGGTGCCGCCCCCGAACGAGTGGAACACGAGGAAGCCTTGCAGGCCCGAACATTGTTCGGCCATTTTCGAGAGTTTGTCCATCACGATGTGGATCATTTCTTTGCCGATGGTGTAGTGGCCTCGGGCGTAGTTGTTGGCGGCGTCTTCTTTACCGGTGATGAGTTGTTCCGGGTGGTAGAGTTGTTTGTATTTGCCGACTCGGACCTCATCTGGAACAAAATTAATGGATTATTATACCAGGTGAATAAAAAGTATGGAACGAAGCGTTTTTCTCGTAAACTAACCACTTTACAAAAAAAAAAAATTAAAATGTGACCATTTATCAAGAATAACATTTTTCGAAATTTCTTTTAGTTTTCGGGTTTTAGAAAAAAAAAATTTAATGGCAACCCACCATGATAATTTTTTTAATTAAAGATTATGATCTAAAAATGACCTTTAATTAAATAAAATTGTTTTTTAGCCAGTACTTTTTTTTTAATTAATTGTTAAAGTTGCGTTCCGAGCTCATCACGAAGATTTTCCGAACATAACCGAAGTGGTTGTTTCATGCTTTTCATCATGGGAGAGATGCAGGTGCTTTGGGGTGGTTTCGAATGGACTAAAAATAGAAGAAAATGATTTGTTTTTACATTTTTTGATCCATCCGGAACCACCCCAAAGCACCTGCACCAAAAACCAACGACCAAAGTCATGAAACGACTCCCTCGTTCAAGTTCGGAAAATCTTCGTGATGGGCTCGGAACGCAACTTTAATAATTTATTAAAAAAAAAGTACTGACTAGAAAACAATTCTGTTTAATTAGAGGTCATTTTTAGATCATAAGCTTTAATTAAAAAAATTACCATAGTGGGTTGCCATTAAAAAAAAAAAAAATTTCCAGAACTCGAAAACCAAAAAAAATTCCAAAAATGTTATTCTTGATAAATGGTCACATTTTAATTGGACTTTTCGCTACACTAATTATTTTTTTTGTAAAGTGGTTAGTTTACGAGAAAAACGCTTCGTTCCATACTTTTTATTCACCTGGTAGTATGTCTAAATAAAATAAAGTCAACAGTAGGATGGTAATTTACATAATTCGAATTTGTATTTTTGTTTTGCCCTTTAATTATGTTAATTTGTAACAAAGTAAATAAAAAAGGATTAGCCTTAAAAATTTTCACTGAAGCAAGAAAAATCGCAAAAAGGAGTAATTCTTTATCCATTATCTTCGTTAATTTGTAACGACTCGAAATGTCAGTACAGTAAAAATGATTTTGGATGAAAAAATTTTAAATCTAGTAAAACTGAATTAAAAATAGCTCAAATTGCTTTACTTTGGAAGAAAACTCTTATTGAAGTCAGTATTTGGTTGATTCCCAATTTAAAATTGAGCCAAACATATCACAAATTGCTTTATTTCAACCTAAAATTAAGTTGAAGCAATTGTATTTATAAAACACATTAATTTCAAACTAATTCTGTATTAAAATCGAGCAAAATTGAATTAACTATAGCTCAGATTGCTTTATTTCAGCCTAAAATTACAATTGAAGCAATTATTTTAATAAAATACATTAATTTCGAAATAATCCTGTATTAAAATC